ATAGATAGATAGATAGATAGATAGATAGATAGATAGATAGATAGATAGATAGATAATAACAACAGCAATAAAGCTCATCCAAGAATGGGGATAAACAGAAAGAACTGAAAGCCAAAATACAGAACAGGCATATAAAAAAACGAGTGCGGTAGTGCAGCGGTTAGTGCGCTCGTCTCCGAAGCGGAAAGTCCGGGTTCGAGCCTCGGACATGGGTTATTTCACCCCCTCCTGCCCACCCAGCAGTAATGAGTACCTGACTTCGAGTTGGGAAAGTAAAGGCGGGGTGGAAAGGAACTGGCCACCCTACAACAATATGCCAAAGCCCAGGAAATTGTCTCACTAACAAGACAATCCCCAATGTCCGGATCAGATGCTTTTTACCTTTTATATGAAAGAATGGTTTCACTCTGTGGAAATAGCAGTCGGTTGGTTACGTGAACAGATCGCACACCATCACATTCTTAATTACCAGAAAACAGTATACATTCTGCAAATGTATTTAATGTAGGTGGTTTTACGACCCCAATCGACACATAGATCATTTAAAAGGGGGGCTTTGACACTGCCTGTGACGGCTAAACCGGACTGAAAAGAATACATCCCAGCAAAAGTTCGAGAAACTCGATGAAAATTCACCCCAATCAGGAATCAAACTCCAGTCTCATGCATGCGTCAGTAAAGTGCATAACCATGACGCCACAGACATTTAACATCATACTGTATTTTAATGGGTTCATACTATGAGGGATTAACCCTTCTATACGACTATGAATACTGGACAATTACCAAGAATAATAGATGATAGAAGAGCGTGAGAAATGTGGTTTCTCGGGAGACTGCTTAGAATTTCATGGGAGGGAAATAAGTCAAAAGAGGTAGTACTGAGAGAAATTCTTTCAGGAGTTAGACGGGGAAAAATCTTTTTCTTGCATACTTAAATAGATACAAAAGCCTTGAACATCTTTTTCTCCCTGCAAAAAGGAGAGAAAAGAAGCAAAGGTAGACCAAGAACTAGCTTATTAAATAATTTGAACAGATGGGTGACAAGTAAAGACTAGCACGATAATATGTGAGGCATTGTGGTGAAACCAGGCGCTCGTCAAAATAATGAAATTACAGAAATAGGCATTTTCCCACTTGCATTGCAATCTGTATAGAATTTTTTATTTTTGGCTTAACATATTGTTTGTCCATTTAAACATACATTGCGTGTGAATGTTTACTGAAAAACGTCGATTAAAGGCACACAAAATGTAAATGTATGGCTTCTCAGGGCTCTTAAGCTATAAAAGTAATCAAACTCCCGCGGCCATTTTCTCACAAATTTTACCTCTGAAACCAGTCGACCCCTACCTCCTTCAACCCCAAATATCTAAACTTCTAATAAAGATAGACGGGTATTCTATTCATCGAAAGAAAGTCAGATGAACAAGTTTAAGATTAAACAAACTGGATCGATAACAACAACAAGATGGGGAAAAAAAACCGCTATGTGTAAAAAAAATTGACGACCATCTGATTCCACCACATCGCGACACAATATATATATATTTTTTCTTTTAAAAATTTTTTTAGAGCTCCCAAACAGAGAAACGAATGGCGAACCATCATATCATCGTCAATGTCCTTTTTAGATCAGGCACTTCATTCCAGGATATAGGACAACGAATCGTGTAGTATGTCTGTCCTTGACAAACTTTATTTGCTTTTTAGAGGCTATGATAAACAGGAACATTTGAAAAATTTACACACAGACACAAAAAGTTAAACGCATGAACAAACAAACAACTACAAGCACATTCACTCTCACATAAACACAGATACACTCTCATAAACACCACATACACTCACACTCACATTCGCATTCTCACTCTCTCTGAGTACTTATAAACTCATAAACACCACATACACAC